ACTTCTATTATTGACTTTATTAACTACATCCCCTCTCCATCGCTACAGAACAACAAATTCGATGCTCGAATTCTTTTCGTTCAGTGAACACCCAATCAAAACCACCAAAATACCAACCTATTTCGTTTCTCCACTTCCTCAACCAATTCATCAATGTCGAACTTCACACGAGTGTTTATGATCAACTGTTTGATTGCGTCCTCAGAACAGTCCACATCCAATAAACCACCAACAACGATCGGCAAACGTGCTGGGTTCACCTGCATTTCATCTTTTTTTTCAACTTCTTCAGAATATCACCAAAGAATGGTAATCATATGGATCAATCTGCTGATTATTTCTATTACTCTGCTGAATATTGTTTCATCACTCAGATTTGTTGCATTACTTCCGGTCATTGTTTCCCCCCTAAAAACTTTTTAATTGTCCATTTCATAGGTTTTATTAACTTGAATAAACGATGTGTTCATTTTTTGATGATTATTACCTTTTGTACGAACACTTCGATGTAACGCTGAAGGTTGTTTCTGTACAAATAGAGCACCAAGTCATGAACCATATCGTGACGATCGCAAACGATTATCAACGGTAATTGGTCGGTGAGTTTCGCCTCCTTCAAGTAATTCTTCACTCGTTCGGCTTCATAGCAGTTCGACTCACGACATATGCGTTCCACTTCCTTGATCTGCCCAGTTCGAGTGGCTGCCTATAAATGAGAGAATTTTATCACAGATATCATACATTAACGAATGAAAACTGCCTCAAAGAGTGAAGATGAGACCGGAAACGTACCTGGATATATTTGAAGTGAACTTCTGGATCTTGTGAGAAGTTCACGATGGAACCGAGGAAATAGAATAATCCCTCGTAGCTTTTGAATGACTCGAACAGATCAATCAACGCATTGGTGGTCAGTTGTTCGTGATACTTGGTCGCGATCTGCACCACTATTTGCAGATTTTGACGCATATTCGTTTGCAGCATTGCTTTCAGACACTCCAACGAATCCTCCACCGACAACTGACCAAAATAGCTCACCAACCACTGCAATTATCAATATTCACTCTAACTCTAACGTACCATTTTATCACTTTCATTGAATCATTTAAAACAATTCTAGTGATAAATCACTTGAAACCAATTCAAATCAAATTTCAAGCGAATGGACCAAACGATCAAAATCGAAGTTTGACAACATACAGACGTAAATAAATGAACAACTGAATGAATTGGCGAATCAATCAACAAACATATAAATAGACATTGACTGATAGGGATAACAAACTCACGTCAGGTTTAAGATGTTGAGTGTGCACGACAGTTCTCTTGATATCGTACAGATCGGTGAAATGCTCCAACGCTCTTTGCAACAGACCAGCCTTCTCGCAGAGTTGACCGATTGCTGCGCGATCATAATGTGTGAACATCTTATTACCCAGTATCGCATCAGCCACCTTCAAAAAACTATCGTTGATAAAAAAGATACAACACGAATCCGAATCACATTTCTGATCGTCTTACAAACATTTTGAATATCAACAAATAATGTGCCTAAATATCTACAACATTCAATCAAAAATAAATTCATCAATCGAGAAATCTCTTTGCTCACCTGCGGCGCATACATCAGATTCATTTCCAAGAGCTTTGTTTGCAAATGTCCTTCAGATTCACGGTCACCTTCTAGTACTTGCAATAAGAACGATGTGCACGGTTGGATCGCTTGCACTTCTTCAAAACACGACACGATCTAAAAAAGAGTAATTGCGAATCGGATAAATGAAATTCATGCAGATCTGAATGAATCAATCACACCAAAACGACACTAACTACCAATCAAAATTCACAACTGGAAATAATTTTACACAAAAATTTTAAAATCTGAAAACATTTCGAATAAATTCACTTCAAGCATGTAAACATGTAGAGCAATTTAACATCGCTCGGGAAAGTTCTCAACTTAAAAGCCAAAACCAAACCAAGTGAACACAATACCTGATTGATATCTGCAAGTGGTTCACCATCGCCTTCAGTAACAAGCATTTGCGCGAATTTTGCACCCATATCTGGATTCGTTCGAAGCACTTGCCTCAGTTGGAACAAATAATCTGGCTCGAAATTCACTTTCTTCGCATACAAAATGATCTTATCGAATTGTCCTGTTTCCGCGAAGCATTGCACCACCTACAAACAACCATACCTTTCAAAGCAGACGTAAAATAGAAACGATTCGTAGACACAAACAAAAATACGAACCCTACTCACACAGTCAACCATACAGTAACAATATCAATAAACGAAAAAAAACATCATCCCAAAAATATTAGTCAAGCCTAAAATGAAATAACTGAAACAAAAGCTCACCTTATGTGGTACATTCCCACGAAGATAGACTGACAGTGCCAAATTCGGATCATGCGGACGTACCAGGTCTCCAAGTTCTTCACTGCAATCCAGCTTACTCTCGGTAAGCCACTTCTCTAGCAACTGCTTCCTGCCCTGAAAGATCAAGTGAATTTTCACTGAATCATACGGAACAGAGAAAAACAGTCACACACGACCCCACAACTAACGCGTTCAGCTTGATCATATAAAAGCACCATCTCAAGTTCATTCCAACTGAAAACTTTACAAAAATTTTCTTCCTGATCCATTCGAAAACATGCGACTGCTTCTAAGTTCTCTCTACCCACCTTAGCTTTAAAAACACTTCACCAATAAAACAGTTGATGGATACAATAGTGACAATTCAGGAACGAACCTGTTGCAGCACAGGTCTACACAACTCAAGCGTTTCGTACTTGTTCAGCTGTCCTTGATCCAGCAGTATACCGAAGTACTGCAGAAGTGGGGTTGGTCCAGGACCCTTCACTGGGCATTGTTGGAATTTTTGAATTGTCTGCGGGGTTCGAAGAATACCCTGGAACAGTAAATTAGTTCGCATAAGCACAATTTGAAGATCAACAACCAACTTTGAATATGTGATCAAATGTGAAATAGACTTTGAGGGGAAAAAACTCCAATAATCCGAAAAGAACAGTATAAAAACGCAATTAAGTGACAATCAACGAACCTGTGGTGCAGTTGCAGCCACTTTTGCAGCTTCAGAGTAGTTACCGTTACCGAATAACAAGTTAAATTTACGCACAAACAACTCCTCAGCGCCCGGCAAATCGCATCTAACCGCAAGTTTAAGCGCAAGATCTGGATTTTGTAGCGTTTGTGTCACGTACGGAATCATATTCTGCTCATCGACACTCACTGATAGCACCTTAAATTTTACTTTCGTCACAAATCAAATCATTTCAATCAAAATCACTTTTGATAAAGATTGCTAGCGTGTTTCACCTAGTGCAATACGAATTATAGAAACTCATCAAAAAATCGCTAATTTTCATTGTGAGGAGAATATGAAATCAAAGCTTCCATAATGAAATAATAATGATATTTTGTCTAGGTCAACGATGTCAAGATTAAAGAAATTGCAACTAATCAAGTTAAGTGACCTGTCCCTTCCGATTCACACCCATAATACCCTCGGTCGCGGTGTATTCAGTGGTAACGAAAATAGTATCCGACGAGATTCTGTTCATGTAGATGCACGTTCCAGTCTCGATGTCATACAAATGAACGTAGCCATACTTGGTCACCAAATAAACGATGCCGTGTTTCGGTGCAGCCTAAAACAGCGAATTTACGATCGAAACGAGAACTCTCAATTATCAACGATCTTCTCATTATCCTCCCCAGATTTCCTAGCCACAGAACAAAGATCAAATTCCCACAAGTCGTCTGATAAAACGATCCCCAAACTGAACCATGCTCAGTGCTGTAACCAATACACTCATAATGATGCAAGTGATATGTAAATAAAACAACCACATTACAGTCAATATAAACAAAATACTACCGAATGCAACTCAATACTGATTTGCAATACATTCAATATCAAATTACAATAATAGCATAATAAAATCATTGATTAATCTATACACAAACTCATTCAAATTCTACGTATACCCCAGTATCATGCATATGGGAAATCATTCAAACTTTGGCTGAAACAGATGAATTGCAATAACACTATTTGACGAAATCTCAAATAAGCTCACAAGACTCATCAACATCCCCCTTGAACCTAACGATCCATCGAACATGAAACAAAAAAGAAAATAAACAAGATCGCTACGGAAGTAGCAAAAACTAAAAAACTCTACCTGCATGGCGACTGGAAAATCGGCAGCAGCTTCTGCCGGATAATAAACATCGACCTGTTTCTTTTGGAATGGCTGATTTCCCGATACCGGTGTGCCTAATTCAACTATATGCAACTGAAATTGATTCATATCAAATCAGTTCGAATGTTCAAATTTTAAAAGATATTTTTAAAAATTTCTACTCCTGAAGATGATTTCTTTCATCGTCAATTTTTTATTCTATATTCCCAATATTCAGCATCTNCGCACCTTTCCGCCTTGTGCAGTTCTGACCGAGAAACAGAACAGATTGCTGGGATGCGGATTGCCTTCAGCTTTGAAACAAACGAAACATGCCGCATGACCTTCGATTGGCTGCGACACCTTACGTTCCGTACTGTACAGCTGCATTGCGCCCACCACACGATTGTCCTTTAATTGCATATCAATTGCTTACTACTAAATACTTTAGAGCATATGTGATGTTCATATTCATATTCTCGTATAATGAACGTGAATAATGAACATTCAAGATATCATTCAAGATTAGGCTTCTTGAGACAAAATATACCAACCTTAGCAGCAATACCGATCAGCACAAGCCATTTACATTCAGCATCGGCACGGTAGTTGATCACTTGAAAACCGCTCAACGTTGAATGACGTTCGAACATTTTCGTTGGAGCCGAGTCACCTTGCATTGACCAGTGATAGACGGCTGTTTCGGTCACTAACGCGATCGTATTCACGTTCACCCACTTCCAGAACGTTACATCCTCGGGCATGTTGTGCGCCTTCATTTTTGATTTCAATTCAATGTTGAAGATTTGCAATGTTTTGGCCGACTTCAGCGCCAGCACCTTCGTGGCTGGATTCATGATCACCGAGTCTGCGGTGATTGGCCTTCTCAACGGATTCGTGATATCATTCAAGTCGATGATGACCACTTGCGATGACTCACCAACCTTTTCGCGAACCACTATGAACTTATCTGATTCCATTGTCAGCGTGGCAAAGCCAATATTTGTTGCATTGATGCCCAAATTTTGGAGCTGAAAACATTCTTTTTCTTTTTGTTTCATTTCAGTGCTCCGTTGAAAAATGTCGTTTATGTTGGTCTTTTGTTCCGAGCATTAAATGATAATATGCAAGAGACATTTTTGCGATAATCCCGAAATCAACTGACAAATCAGCGAAATAATTTTTGCAGCATAAACTTCTCTT